GTGGACATGCTGCAAAGGAGAAAACTTCTGTACCTGCAGGAGAGTCACACACCCTGTGAAAGTAACCAGGGGGGCAAAGACTTTAACTAGAGGTTATCAATGAATGAATGAGCATAAAATTCATATGTAGCAGAATGAATAGATGAACGGATGTGGACAAACCTTTAACAGCCTCTCATCTCCTCAGTAGCAGAGATTTCACACGGGAGAGGAGTTCTCTGAACATAGTGAGAATGGGGAAATATTCACTCACAGCTCCACACTGACTGAACAAGTGTTAACTCACACTGAAGAGAAGCCCCGTAAATGTAACGAATGTGGGAAACACTTTAGCCAGAGAGCTACCTTTTGTTCACACCAGAGACAAACCCTTTGTAATCATTATGGAAATGCCTCCAGTAATAATTCATCCTTCAAATGACACAAGTGAATCACACTGCAGAGAAGCCATAAGAATATCATCTATGTGGTAAAGCCTTTAGTTGATGCTCTAACCTTAGCCATGAAACAGCATACACTGGAGAGGAACCCTAGAGACGTAATGAATTTGGAGGAACCTTCACTCCCAGCTCTAACCTTTATAGACACCAGAGAGTTCACGCAGGGGAGAAACGCTGCAGCCTTCAGCCATCTCTCAGGCCTTGGTCTGCACAGAAAGCTCAAACAGGAAGGGACACAGCAAGTCTTTACCAGGAGGAGGAAGCCATTTGGGAAATACCAGACAATTCATGCTGGAGAAGCAATTCAATGAAATAAACATGGGAAACCCATTACTCATAGAGCAGCACTCCAGGGCACATGAGGACTTTTACTGTATCAGACACTCTCAGTGTCATGAATGAAATGATCTCACCTTAGCCTTAAAGTTCTCACACTTGGGAGTTCCTTAAGCCTCAAGTCAATGTAGAAATGCCTTCATCTGGATTTTATATAAGAAAATTCATACTCAGGGAAAAAAAATACTCTATCAAGAAGAACCCTTTAGTACACAATTCAACATATAATTAGACTTCTGCCAAATGACATATTACTGAAAATAATACCATGTAAAGATGTAGAACTGTGATGCATTCTTAGAAAAGTTGAATGCAGATTTTGGTGAGATGTAATAAACAATGTGATAACCCCTCTTCAGTAGATTAATAAGAGTTGTTGATGAAAAATCGAATACATGGGTATTTGTCTTTAAAAAAATCATGAGGGCTTCCCTGGTTGTGCAGTGGTTGAGAGTCCGCCTGCCGATGCAGGGGACGCAGGTTCGTGCCCCGGTCCGGGAGGATCCCACATGCTGCGGAGCGGCTGGGCCCGTGAGCCATGGCTGCTGAGCCTGCGCGTCCGGAGCCTGTGCTCCGTAACGGGAGAGGCCACAACAGTAAGAGGCCCGCGTATCGCAAAAAAAAAAAAAAACCATGAAACATTATGGTGAGTAATTGAGGCATTTTCCTTTACTGCATCGCTGTTGATCAGCTGATCAGTTTCAGTTTTGTACGCAGCTCTAAACGTATTTACAAGGACTTTGTTTAATCAGAAAATACCTTTTAATGTAACGGAAAAAGCGTAGAATACAAAACATGTGTTCTAATTATTCTATTTGTGTTTAAATATGTACCCACATGGCAAGGGTGAATGGAAACATGGACAAACAAGCACAGTTTATAAGTGATTCAGATATCCCCGGTGGTACTGATGCGGGTGGTGTACACACCATATTTTATTAAATAGAAATAGAAAGATAAATAGAAAGGTTTGGAGTTGAGAAATATGTGAAAAAGCACTGTATCAAGTGTACAATATTGCTGAAATGATGAGTTCTTGAGAGAGAGAAGAGATGAGAGCCTTGTATACCTTTTTCTTAAAAGCAAGAGAAAACCATTAGAGGGTCTTAAGCAGCAAGAAAAACAATGAGATTTTTAGAAGGACATAATAGCTACCATGTGGAGATTGACTTGGATGGGAGGAGAGCAAAATTGGAAGTTGGAATACAATTTAGATAACTTCTGCAATGACACAAACATGAGGTGATGACCTGGGCCAAGATGAAGGCAGTGAGGAGTGAAGAGGTGAGGGCTGATTCAACAGATTTGTAGGTAGTATTGTCTACAGGACTTGGATATCGAAGATGGAGGACTCAAGAATGACATCTCGGTTTCTGGCATGGGAACCTGACCAGGGCAGGTGGCAGTACCCTTTATGGACACAGGGTATATTGGAGAACCAGATTTGGTAGACAAGGAGAGTTCAGTTTTGGACATTTGGAGTTTGTGTTTGTGAGATTTTCAGATCCATTAAGTGATTGAATATTTGGCATATAAATGTCTGAAACCACAAGTATGGCAGAAATCATCCAGAGAGGTTATATAGTGTGTGAAAAGCAGAGGGCAAAGGATCAACCCTGAGAAACTCCAGTGTAATGGGAGGGAAAGAAACCTACAAATGAGATTGAAAGAAGTGGCCAAAGATGACAGGACTCCAGAATCCAAGGGACGGCGGAAGTGGTCAACTCTGTCAGACACTCTAGGGGAGTCAAGACTGTAATGAGCAGATGAAGTTAATGATGCCTATGTCATTGGTGATCTTAACCCAGCCTGTTTCAGTGGAACAGTATAGGAGGCAACAGAGCGCAGAGCACTAGAGGTGAGAACATCCAGTCAGTATATGCAGACACTGCTCCAATAATTTGATGGGAAAGAGAGGAGAGATGTAAGGTAGAAGTTAAAGCAGTGCTTGAATTGAGAAATAGTTTTGTTTTGGATGGAAAATCTAGGAGCATATTTAAATAGTAATGAGAAAGAGCCAGCAAAGAAGGAAGGGTTCAAGAAAGACTAGAGAGGGGGGAGATAACTGATAAAATTAGGTCACCAGGAAGCCGGAGACGGTGGGATCCAAAGCACATTAAGGTCCTGTCCTTTTGTCACAGGCTAGATAGAGGAATCGATGGGTTTGTAGTGAACCAGGGTAAGTGCCCCAGGGGAGAAAGGGTTTTAGTCTTTGAGTGAGAGTAGGAGGGTGTGGAATCTAAGGTGGGTAGAAAATAAGTCAAGGCAGGAAAAAGCTGATAGAGAGCAAGAAGGATAAAATCGCTCCATGAACCTATTGAAGGTTGAAAATTTGATGTATTGAGCGTAATTGGATAAATGACCCCAAAGGATAGGCAGTGTTCAGAGAACAGGATGCCTATTTCAGAGGTGGAGCAGTTTTAGGTCTGACACAGCCCAGGGTGCACTCGCGGGCGTGGTGGGGAAGACGAGGAGACACGCTTCTAAAAGGCTGGGATACACGGGCCGTGGGAACAGTGAAGTCTCCAACAGTGGTGGCGGAACTCGGTGTGGAGACCAAGGCACCAAAGTCATAAAAAATAAAAGTAAAAGGAGAGTGACCAGGAGTTTGTTAACAGCTATAAGAAATGGTCGAGAGCAATTATCCTGTACCACTGGCTCTAACCACTCCCTCATCCTCTTCCCGAGCCCCTCAGAAATATTCTTTTAGCAAATACATTGCTGGTTATGCAGAAATGACTTCAAAACAAGCCTTCTAACAGGGGTTCCAGGGAGCTCTGTTTGGGAAAAAGGGGAGGAGTGTGAGGTTGAGTCAGGGAAGAGAGACTAGAGAAGAGCAGTTTTGGGGTGAGCACCGAAGAGGATTCATGATCTGAAGGGGGTACATTTGGGGCAGTGACAGAGGAAAGCATGACTGGAGGTGCTGCTTTTAGTTGGTGGGGGGTTTCTTAAGCTAAAAGGCACTGCCAGTGTCCTCTATCCATTAAAAATAAATAAAGACTTAGGTGGAAACCCTGGGAAGGAGGTAAAGTGGGAGGGGTGTGTGTGTGTGTGTGTGTGTGTGTGTGTGTGTGTGTGTTGGCAGTTGGATTGGGTGGGAGTTGAAGGAATTCTTTGTGGTGCCTGAGGGCAAATATTGCTAAGCCATGATCTTAATTTTAAATCTTTTATTGTAGTTTGAGCATATTCATTTCTTTAGGCATCTAGTTGAAATAAGTCTCTCATCTACATAAGAAATTGGTTCCTAGATTTGGGAAATTGTTACTGAGCTCCGGTGTCTAACCACTTGTTTAACAGGCATTTATTTAGGGTCTTCTAGGTACCAGGCACTGAGCTGGCCCTAGGATTACAAAGATAAACATGAATTATGGCTTTTTATAAGTTCTTTTAAATAATGCATCACTATCATAGATTCATTAACCATATTTTCTTACAACCTTCAAAAATATTGATTTGATAGAAGGTATACTCCTAGTTGATCAGACACACTACAGTAGAATCAGTGTGTTAATGTTTATGATTAAAACTATTAAAGAACTTCCAGTTTTTAAAAAAATCTGGCTAACAGCTACTTCCAAAATCTACCTTGTCCAGTTTTCCTCATCTGTTTATTTTAAATGTGTTAACATTCCTTAAATCCTTTCTGATAGATGCTCAGTGTCTGTTAAACACAAAAGCGCATAGGAGTACCTTACCATCTGAATTTGTTTCTACTCTTCCTAACTTCCACACTTGTTTTAAGGAAATAACACATGTGGAGTCCTATAAAACATATTACATGATTTTTCATCTTAAATATAAACTACCTGATAAAGTAGGTAGTTTGGATCTTGTAGTGGAATCTTGTCTGGATCTTACAGAGGAATCTCAGATTTCTTCAAATTCTGCTGCTAGGACCAGGACCTTTTCCACATGTTACAGTTGAAGAAGAATACAATGTTATCATTAACACGCTGGCGGATCCAGTGTGTCAGCTTCTATAGAAGGGGCTCACCTTCCTGTATCCACCACTCCAGAGCAGCTGGAGGAAGAGCCTGGAAATCACTCTCCACATCACTTACATTTTCAGAGATCTGATTCATGCCTGGTCCTAAGAAATGCACAGTTTCTTTGTAATGGTCTTTAAAAGAGTATTCCCTCATTCAACAAAAGTCTACTTCAAAGTACCTAGAGTATGAGGTTGAATGTGTGAAATCTTTTTGTGTATTTGTATTTTCTTTATAGGATAAAGATGCACAGAAAGAGGTGAAAAAAATAAACACTTCCTTGAAGAGGTAAATAAAAGAACTTGCTCTTCAACAAATCAGATGTGGTCTACTAAAATTTAAACTAATCAAAGTTGTGTTTTTTTATTATCCTTTTTTCTTTTCTGATGTAAGGGTAATGTGCTCAGATATCAAGGCAAAACCACGTTTCTGCAGAAGGCATTCCACTAGTAGCACTACAAAACTAATCATGTTATTTGGAGGAATCTATTTCCTATAATGTCACTACAAAATGATCTTTAAACATGTACGCTTTATATTTTTCCTATTAAACTATAGTCTTCAGAATAAAATATTTAAGTCAATTCAATAAAATGAACTCAAGTGAGTGTTTTATTGCTGCTTCAATGGTGACTTTACAAAACAAAATAATTTCATTAACGTGAATGAAAAATGGAAAAAAAGGCAAAGGACATGAACGAGTTGTTGATAGGAGAGGAAAAACAAAAGGGGAAATACAACTAGTAATTTTAAAAATGTGAAGAAAATTACAATAAGATACTGTTTTACCATCAAATTAGCAAGGATTTCTTTTTTCCTTTAAAGAAACGTTCAATGCTGGCAATGATGCCATGAGATGGACCATTCTCATACACTGCTGCTGGGAGGGCATTTTGACACAAACATTTGGTACAGTGTATCTACAACATTAAAAATATAAAAACTCTTTAATCTTGTAATTTCATTTTATGGAAATCTTTTTTTTTTAACATCTTTATTGGGGTATAATTGCTTTACAATGGTGTGTTAGTTTCTGCTTTATAACAAAGTGAATCAGTTATACATATACATATGTTCCCATGTCTCTTCCCTCTTGCGTCTCCCTCCCTCCCACCCTCCCTATCCCACCCCTCCAGGTGGTCACAAAGCACCGAGCTGATCTCCCTGCGCGATGCGGCTGCTTCCCACTAGCTATCTACCTTACGTTTGTTAGTGTATTTATGTCCATGCCTCTCTCTCGCTTTGTCACAGCTTACCCTTCCCCCTCCCCATATCCTCAAGTCCATTCTCTAGTAGGTCTGTGTCTTTATTCCTGTCTTACCCCTAGGCTCTTCATGACATATTTTTCTTAAATTCCATATATATGTGTTAGCATACAGTATTTGTCTCTCTCTTTCTTACTTCACTCTGTATGACAGACTCTAAGTCTATCCACCTCATTACAAATAGCTCAGCTTCGTTTCTTTTTATGGCTGAGTAATATTCCATTGTATATATGTGCCACATCTTCTTTATCCATTCATCCAATGATGGACACTTAGGTTGTTTCCATCTCCAGGCTATTGTAAATAGAGCTGCAATGAACATTTTGGTACATGACTCTAAAAGGATTTTTAAATTGAACTTACCTAGCAGTGATTTCTAGATTCCCCACTACCCTTTAACCAGCCTTATCCTGGAAATCAGGTCAAAGCTTAAATTTATTGTTTGCTATCCCAAATGCACGGACACACACACTTACGCACTCAATTTCAAGCCTTGACTTAGTGATACCAGTTAATCAATCTGAGCTAGTTTCTCCCTCTTGTCTTTTATAACGGCCCATAGAGATACCTAAATCAATCCAACTGATTCTTGCCGAAACTCTGACAATTGGTCTAACACTGAAACTACTAGCTGGAAGGGACAAGAGTTTTACAGGTACCCTCACGGATACACAGTATCCACAAGGCCATGGCTACCTCTAGCTATCTCTAAACAGCTAGGTGAATGTGCAAGTCAAGACAGGTGATTCTAGCAGCAGAAAATAATGTAGAATCAACCACATTGTAGGCTTTGTAGGAGCAGCTCATTCCAGCAGAGAGTGGTACAAAGACTTCCGCTAAGAATTATGAGAAACAGCGGGAACGCTCTTTGGTGATGGTGGGACTTGGGATCATAATTGAAACATAACAAGACCTAATCAATCTTGTTTTAACAGAATTCCCATTTGGTCCTTGTAGTCAATACGTTTTCAGTGGACAAGTTGATGTCCCTTGATTGAGTGATCAGTTCCTGAATAAGGACTTAACCCAATAGGAGTGTAACATTTCTAAAAGTTACTTGAATCTTTAAAATCTTGTTAATGTCTGAAACATTGGACAGATTTTTCAGTAGGAGGTTAATGGAGGAAATCTCCCTCCTCACCATGGTAATACCATATCCCCTTCAAATTAACATCAAAGCCGTGTTCTGTGCTCTGTTCCAGGGTCACGCCTGGTCATAGCTAGTCTTCATCAAGTCATAAAATCAAAGCATCTATGTGTGATGAAGCCAGCTAAAGACGGTTTCCACATTAAATCCACCTCCCCGCCTTTTAAAAGCTGAGTAGTGTTTTCGGATGGCAGCATTATATGTAAATTATTTCACTTACTCCAGTGAATTTCACACAGAGTGAACCACTGTGAACTCCTTCTGTAGTTGCTTCACTCACCACTCATTCTGCTGACCTGGGAGAAGACAGAATAGCTGCCGAGTGTTTCTGAAACGATTTCTCTTGGTGGGTCACCAAGGCCAAGCCAGTGGTACAGCCTGCACCACAGACAAAGTACACAAACTCCTAAACTTTCAAGAGAGTTCACGCACGGCTTTCGGAAGGGGGAGTTCCGATCCAGAACTTCTTGAATGTGTTTGATTTCAGAAGATAATAAGGTGCATGTTAAAACTTCTCATAAAACATTCAAGAAGTAACGCAGTGTTCCACTAAAATTTTAACAATTGTCATGTCCATGTAATTTGCAATGTTAGTTATCTTTCTAAGTACTGAATATCCTTCATTGTAACATGAAAATCTCTCTTGTGCCTAAAAGTTGTCAAAAAGCTTTTCATCTGATAATTTTTGCATACTTCTGAATTATAAATAGCCGTATAAACAGGTGGATGAGACCGTAGAGACAATCGTCTAGACCAGCCTTCTCGTTTTACCGGTAAACAGTTTAGTCTCTGATATCTAAGAGAACTGGTGAGTGGCTGAGCCAGGACGAGGTACCAGGTCTTGGAATCTCATGCCTTCGGAACCCGTCTTTGAACCCAGGGCCTTTTCCATTTAACCGAGTGGAGTCCAATGTGTTTGGCATAGATGGAGGAGGATGGGAGGGAGGGAAAGAGGTCTGAGAATGGTAACACTTGCATGGTTCTACCTGGTCTAAGTGTTTTGCCTATGTTAGCCCTTTTTTTTTTTTTTAACGTCTTTATTGGGGTATAATTGCTTTACAATGGTGTGTTAGTTTCTGCTTTATAACAAAGTGAATCAGTTATACATATACATATGTTCCCATATCTCTTCCCTCTTGCGTCTCCCTCCCTCCCACCCTCCCTATCCCACCCCTCCAGGCGGTCACAAAGCGCCGAGCCGCTATCCCTGTGCCATGTGGCTGTTTCCCACTAGCTATCTACCTTACGTTTATTAGTGTATATATGTCCACGGCTCTCTCTCGCCCTGTCACAGCTCACCCTTCCCCCTCCGCATATCCTCAAGTCCGTTCTCCAGTAGGTCTGTGTCTTTATTCCTGTCGTAATCCTCACAGCAACCCTATGAGGAGGGAACTTCTGTTATTATCCCATTTACAGATAGGGGAGCTGAAGCACGGGATATTAAATACCATGCCTAACACAGCATGAGATCTGAACTTGGGCAGTCAGCTCCAGAGTCCGAGCTGTGGTCTGAACCACCATGCAATCCTGCCAACAAATGGGGGGATGCAGGGAGTAAAAGACAGAAGGTGGAAGGAGAGCAGGAAAAAAAAGAAGGAAGGGAAAGGCAGAAATGGTATAAAAATGGGGGGGGTAGAGAGGGATAGTAAGGAAATAAGGAAAAGAAAAGTAGAGAGCAAAGAAAAATCTTTCCTTTTCTCTTTGGATATTGATACCCATTTTCTGGTTTCACATCATAAATTCCCAACAACCTGTTGTGTATCTTGCCTTGTATTAAATCTGTTTTTATATTTCCACCTTCTCCACCCAAGATAAGGAAAGAGAAAAAAGGGAGGATGGTGAAACCTGTTGTAAATGACTAGTTCCACTTGATCTGTGTGTGTAGGGAGAGCCTCATTATGGACTATATGACCTACTGTTGGGCAATTAAGAAGAATATTTCACTGCACAAGTAAAGACAAAGTCACATTTTAGAACCAAATATAGTTAATATCTTGATGTTCTATGATTTTTGCAGCTCCCAAACCTATATTTTGCTCTAGATGCCTAAAGTCAAATCATACATTTTAAAAATAGCTTTATTGAGGTATAATTGACCTACAAAAAATGTACAGTTAAAGTGTACAATTTGATATGTTTTGAGATATATATCTCCATGAAACTATCACCACAAATAAACAGCAAAGTTTGCTCCTTTGCAACCCCTTTTTCCTGACTCTCCCTGCACCTCCCATCTCCAACCTCAGCTCTGTTTTCTGTTACTAGCAATTGCATTTTCTAGACTTTTATATAATTGGATTGTACATTATGTACTCTCTTTTTTGTCTGATTTCTTTCACTCAACATAATTATTTTGAGATTCATTCATGTCATAGTGTGTAATAATAGTTCATTCCTTTTTATTGCTGAGGGGTGTTTTATTACATACACCACAGGTTTTTTCCCCTCCATTCACTTGTTAATGAACATTTGGGCAGTTTCCAGTGTCTGATAATTACAAATAAATATATGAGTATTCATATAAATTATTCAAATTGACATACGCTTTCATTTCTCTTGGATAGATACTTAAGAGTAGAATGGCTGAATTATATAGTTGATTTATGTCTAGTATTTTTAAAAACTGTCAAAACTGTTTTCCAAAGTATGATGTTACATTCTCACCGGCAGTGTATGAGAGTTCCACTTTTCCACCTTCTTAACAACATTTGTTATGGTCAGTCTTTTTTTTTTTTTTAATTGAAGTATAGTTGATTTACAACATTGTATTAGTTTCAGATGTACAGCAAAGTGATTCAGTTACATATTTTTCATTATAGGTTATTACAAGATATTGAATGTAGTTCTCTGTTATACAATAAAGTCAGTCTTTTTCATTTTAGCTGCTAGTCTATGTGTGTAGTGATATCTACTTGGGATTTTAATTTGCATTTCCCTAATGTCAAATTACGTTGAGCATTTTTTCATGTGCTTATTTGCTATTCATATATCTTCTTTGGTGAAGTCTCTATTCAATTTTTTTGCCCAATATTTTAATTGATATACTTGTTTTCTTTTTTGTTGAATTTTGAGAGTTCTTTATATATTCTGGATAGAAGTCTTTTATCAGATGTGTAATTTGCCAGTGTTTTCTTTCCATGTGGCTTGTCTTCCCTAACAGCGTCTTTCACAGGACAAATGTTTTTCATTTTGATAAAACAATTCATACGTTCATGTATCTTGTTCTTGGTGCTGTATCTAAATATTTTGCCTAATCCAAGGTTATAAAGATTTTCTCCTATATTTTCTTCTAAAAGTGTTATAATTTTTGGTTTTACATTTAAATCTGTGACCCATTCTAGGTTAATTTTTGTATATGGTCTGAGTTATGGATTGAAGTCCATT